ACATTTATTATGCCAATCACATGTATCGACAGCCGCGTTATGCTCGGGCTTTTCAGTGATTAGTGCAGCATTGCATCGCTTTTTGGTATAAAACCAATCGCGTTCTTGCGCCTGTTGGCACTCATCATTGGGGCATTCGGCACGTAGCATTCAGCACTCTTGATTCATCGCTCGAGATTCATCTATCTTAGAAAGCTGAGACTTGCGAGAACTACTTCGAGGAGAATTATTTGTATTGCGCAATACTACATCATTTAAGTTCGGCCAGCGACAAGGGACAAAGGCGGTCCTGTACTTGGCCAGAATTATCCTGATTTGTACGGATTCTTCGTCAACGTTTCAACCAGAGTTTTTATGCCGAAAGGCTTTTCCCTGACGAGCCAAATAAAGCGTACTTTTTAGTACTGACTGGGCTCAAATATATTTGTTATTGTGTTTTATTTTCTTATCCTCCTTCCCATTAATAAACAATCTTGATATCACCTGTAAGGGCATTTTTCGATTCACTACAATCCACTGGAGTACCGATTAAGGCATCGGTCGCATCAACAACATGTAATTATTAATATTAATAAAGGTAATAAGGCAATTAAAGTTATACATTAAAATAGAATATAATACAAGAAACAAATAAAAACTCAAATCAAGAATATTATATCACATCAGATATAGAGTGTAATGTAAGAGAATCTAATATCAAAAACTGACGTTATCGCTTCTAACAATGAAAAAAATTGTACAAGTTAARAACTTACAGTTTGTAAAGAATTTCAAATATTCCGAGCTATTAGACGGCTGGCAGAAGAGGGCCAACAACCTTTTTCTCCATGACAAAAAGGTTTAACATTATGGCAACAACGTCTGACGTTGCTTTTGCAATCGACGAATCGCTTAATATTATTTGCTTATTTCAATAATATTAGCATTTCCTAACCGTCGATTTGCAAATTCGTAATTATCTAGGGGCATGTGACGTCGAGGAGCGTCTTCTGGCAGACTTTCCTGTTACGATATATATAAGAAATCCCACACGTATACAATGTACAGAATTTGCATTATTATCTTGCATACAATACAATAAAAAACTACATTGTAATCATGAGAAAATATTCCTTTACAATATTACCAAATAATATTGTGTTGGCAAGAAAGAAATTGCCGATTTTGATCATTGATGTCTCACTCCCATTTTTATAATACTCGTTAATGTTATGATTTTCTTTTTATTATATACGTTATCTGTAATCCTTACTTAGCGGTATAAAATCATTGCGAAGATATTATCTTAATGTTCTTTCTTTATATCAATATTAATATGGAGTGCAAAAATGAACATTTTCGCAATATCTTGCTTTATTATTTCCGTAAAGGAAAGAACGCAAGGCAAGCCGCAAAAAAGATACGTGATGTGTATGATGATGAAGCCCTTAAAGAAAGGCAATGCCAAAATTGGTTTAAAAAATTCCGTTCTGAAGATTTTTATCTTAAAGATGACAAACGTTTAGGTCGACCAGTTAAGCCGACTGAGGATGAAATTAAAACCATCATCGAAACGGATCGTCACATAACTACACAAGAGATTGCAGAGAAGGTAAATGTTTCACATACAACCATTGAGAATCATTTAAAACGTTTTAGGCTCGTTAAGAAGTTGGATATTTGGGTTCCGCACGATTTGAAAGAAATTCATCTGACACAGCGTATCAACGTTTGCGATTTATTGCTTAGACGCAATGAATTTGATCCGTTTTTAAAACGAATCATCACTGGAGACGAAAAGTTGATTGTATACCACAATGTCAATCGAAAACGATCGTGGTGCACGCTTAATGAGTCATCGCAAGCCACTTCAAAGGCACAAAGATCCAAAAAAAGAAAATTTTTCTGTCAATTTGGTGGAATGGGAAAGGTCCGGTGTTTTTTAAGCTGCTTCCAAGGAACCAAACCTTTAATTCGGAGGTCTACTGTCGGCAACTGGATAAATTGAATGCACCAATCAAGGAAAAGCGACAAGAATTTGTCAATTGTAAAGGTGTCATTTTCCACCAGGACAATGCTAGGCCGCAAACGTATTTGGCCATTCGGAAAAAACTGATTGATATTGGTCAGGAATAGATGTTACGCCCACCATATAGCCCTAATCTTGCACCATCGGATTACCACTTATTTCGATCTCTGGTGGATTATCAGGAAAGATATAGATAGATACATATTGTTATTTGTTACTATATTAAAGAATAATATATTTTTATATTAAAAAAATAAAATGATAACTGTAATTCAAGCAACAAATCTTCCTTTACTTGCGCAAGATAGTAAAAAATTTATTGCTCCAAATTTTTTGTAATATTTTAATTTTCTTTCCTGTATATAATGAAACATTAAGAAATGTAAAAATAATTTGTATAACTTAAGGATAGAAAAACTTAAAAAAAAAAATAATTCCCCCTCGAAGAATCGGACGGTAACTACCCGCGTGAGAAGCAGAGACGACACATTTTTATTTATTTTTTAAATGTTTATTTATTTTTACAAAGCAAGTATTGTTATATGTGTTCATAATAAACAAAAGATATAATTATAATGAATTTTTTAAGACATAAAGGCCGGTTACTCTGCTCGCAACGTCATGTACAATTATGATGCACCTAATGCTTTACGGCTATCCGTGATCCTTATATATATATATACATATATATATTTGGCGTTTACAATGTCAATGTTTACGCTTTTGGTTTATTTCTTTGTATTCGTCGAACAGAATAGTCCAGTCAATAAGAGGCAAAGTGCCGACTTTTTGAGCACCCGGCCAAAAACTTAATATAATGGTAATTCGACGACGTTGAATCGAATGGTGCTAATTTTTTTGCAATTGGATCAGGAGATCTTTGAGAAAAAGGGT